CACGTCAACTCCGTCTGATGCGTGAACTCCGTCGTGCAAGGAAAACCCGACGTAAAGCATCCACCTTATCGGGCCGCTAAAAAAAATTAATACATAAATCAGTAAATAAACAGACATGATATTAAACAAAGACAAATATGTTTCAAACTAGCATTGTATTCACCCAAGTCATTATTCTATCATAGTTCACAAAATGCTCAGATAACATTCCAGAAGTAAGCACTTATATAAACATTTAAAATGACAACATATATAAACATTACAGAAGAAGAGTAGTTTACTTTCGCAACACGAAACTTAAAATCGCAACGCGAAAATGACTATCGCAATGCGAAATGAAAATCGCAATGACAAAATCGCAATGCGAAATGAAATCGCAACGACAAAATCGTAACGCGAAACACAAATCGCATTGCGATTTTCATTTCGCGTTGCGATTTTCATTTCGCATTGCAACTTTGTCGTTGCGATTTTTATTTCGCATTGCGATAGCCATTTCCGCGTTGCGATAGTCATTTTCGTGTTGCGAAAGTAAACTATTCTTCTTCTGCAAATTGAAACTTGAATGGATTGCATTACTTCAACCAAAAGACAAAAAAAAACCAAAAACAAATACTAACAAAAACAATTTAGCAGTATTGGCAGCAACCGAATGAATTACGAGTATGAAAAATCTTAAACTTACCTCGTTGCGTAGAGTATGAACCTCATTCTGCAACGATGCTACCATCTCACGTAGAGCGGCTACCTCACCGCGTAATGTAGACACCTCAACACGCCATGCACCATCGTCTTTGCGTAAAGTACCGACCTCCTCACGCAAGGCATTGACCTCATCACGTAACTCCCCTAACTCATCCCGTTGAGGTGGAGGTGGAGAACAGGGAGATAAACGTCGTGGTATCTTTGCTGGTCGCCTATCTTGCGGTGATGATGGAGAAGAGGCTCGATGATGTGACATAATAGGTGATGGCTGTCGTTGTGGAGGTGTATAGTCGGGTCGATCAGATGATGGCTCTGGGTGATGTGATAGCTCTGGGCGAGGTGATTGCTCCCGAAGTGGAGGCTGCTCATCAACCGTTCCATAAAAAAAAATGCTTACTAGCTTGCCACCAATCAGTGGCAAGCTCAGCTTCCGTGGGTGTCAGCCTCTGTAGAGGAGTGTTGGCCTCCTAACAATATAAAAGCTCAAACAAAGTTAAACGTGTACTAGTAATAACTTGTTTATAAACATATGGTAGTATTTATGTTAACTTACATTATTTATTGTCGTATACCGTAGTAAATCTTCCCATTGCAAGGTCCGTTTCCTCTTCCAGGAAATAGCCCTGGGAATATCATTTGAAGTTTTTATTGCATATGTCTTCATGGCGGGAAAGGCCTCAAATATCCAAATCTACAAACAATATAATAACAAACATTAGTAATTGTTAAATAATTACTTATAATTTTGGAAACATTATATAAAAATTCTTACCTTAAAGGCCCAAATAAAGCCTGTCAAAGTGTATTTGGAATCATCGCCATGCAAACTTTTTCGATCATCCAAGGCAGACGATAACTTATTCCATGTAGCTTTCCATAAATACGAGCCCCACGGAAACAGGTTCCACGCATTTAGGTCTTCTACCAATTTGATTAGATCATTTGGAATAGGTTGTCTGGCCTCTCTGCCTAAAAAGCCGGCATGCAAAAGAATTAGAAGGCATACTCGGACAACGTCGACATCATCCATCCAAGTAAAACCATATTTCTTATTCAACAATCTTGTCAGGTCTTCTAGGTGTAGATTCGGCCTCTCCAGCTCAGGAAAAACCCGGGATAGCCATGATGGGCGGGTAATGTGTCTAGTGTACCGACCTACATCATTGTGTCCGAAGCGTAGACCGGTGATTAAGCAAAACTCCTCCCGCCCAAAACACGTATACGCCGGTGGAAAATCAAACCATATCTCTTCATCACGACGTTGTATAGTCTCTGGTAGATCGCTAGTCATAGTTTGAAGAAACAGGTGTGTCAACATCGCATCTTCACCGGGATGTTGTACTTTCAGCCATGGCCCGAAGCATGTATCCTCAAACATTTTTCTTTGTGCAGGTGAAAGCTTCGACTCAATTGTTTTGGCCAGGCTGACTTTATTTCTTAAGGTCAATTGAGCCGAAAAAAAGTTCTACAAAAACAATAAACATACTAAGTTAAATATACCAAAAACTACACTGTGAAGATATACCAAAAACAATAATAAACATAAAGAGTAGTAGTTTATTCTTCAAACTTAAATTTGCAACACTGTGAATTTCGTATTTGTCTTTGTTTTTTGGTTGAAGTAATGCAATTCATTCAAGTTTCAATTTGCAGAAGAAGAATAGTTTCTGAAAATGAAAATCGCAACACGAAAATGACTATCGCAAAGCGAATTTGACTATCGCAACGAGAGAATCGCAACACGAAACTAAAATCGCGTTGCGATTTTCATTTCGCGTTGCGATTCTCGGTTGATTTAATAAGCAATCTAAGTGAAATGGTTAATCTATTATTGAAATTACCAGTAAACTTATCATCAATTTCAATATGAAAAACCTAATAATAATGCAAAAATTTTAAAAAGAAAATAATTAAAAAAACTAACCCTCATTGGTTGATTTGGTTGATTTTCCATTTCTGATTGTGAGGGTGGCTCTGAGAGATGGAGATCGACGGATTTCGCCGGAGATGGGGACAGATTTCGTCGGAGATGGGTGAGAGAGTGAGAGATGGAGATGAGACTGAGTTGTGATTTTAGGTTTTAGGTTATGAGTTGCGATTACGGGATATACTGTGGACGGTTCAGTGTTCCAATATATTAATATTCGTGTTTGGAATTTAAAAATAAAATACTTGGCCAGGATACTAATGGCGCTTAGAAAATCGCATTGCGATTATGTATTATCATATTGCGAAAGTCAGAATCGCGTTGCGAAAGTCAGTATCTCGTTGCGATTTTGTATTATCGCATTGCGATAGTAAGTATCGCATTGCGATAGTCAGTATCGCATTGCGATTTTCCCAATTCGCGTTGCGATTTACTTATTCGCATTGCGAATTGGGAAAATCGCAACGACACTGTAGACCATCGCAACGCGATTTTCAACTATCGCAACGCGAAATGCAACGCGAATTTGCGATAATGGAGATCGCGTTGCATTGCGATTTTGTTGATCATTTTGGCAAATCCGGAAAAAGTTGGTTAAAATCGTATATTATATGGGATTTTTGGTCACTGAGGTTATTTTCTCTTAAATTAAATACATTGTGGAATTTAGAGTTTAAATTATGGGGTTTAGGGAGTTTAAGTACTAGTAGCATAATATATTCATTTTTTAGCTTATAAGTGAACATATTAATGAATGTTAAATAAAATGCTTATTCACCAACATATAAATGAATATTAAACGACTATTAAATGAGTATATTTAGGAACATTAAATAAATATGTTCATGAATGCTAAATAAACGAACACGAACAATCTGAAAAATAATAAACGAACACAAATATGATATTAAAAATTTAAACGAACTTGAATCGAATATGTACACTCTTAAAAATAAACAATCAAGTATGTATACAACTTTGTTCGTTCAAATATAATTTGTTTTGAACTTCTAAGAAGAGAAGAACAAGGGAAGAAAGAGAAATAATATATTAATGGCAATTATGTTATAAATAATAAGGTATACTACACATTTAGTGCATAAACTATTAGTTTTTGTATGTTTAAATACTTAAATTTTTATTTTTTTTACAAAAACCATACCTCATGTTTAGTTTTTATTTTAGTATCCGTCGTTAAAAACTTAACGCGTTTAATACCTAGACTATCAATTTTGGCCCGTTTTAGTACCTAAACTTTCAATTTTTTCAAAACATAACTTTAAATTTTAAATGAGATACTAAAATGAAACAAAAACTAAAGTTTTTAACAAGGGTACTAAAATGAAACAAAAACTAAAATTTAAGTATGATTTTAAAATATTATAAAATTTAGATACTAAAACACACCAAAATTGATAATTTAAATATTGAAGGTGTACTTTACCTTAAATAATAATGAACGGTGATCGAACAATAACAATAAATGAAAGAATTTTAAAATTTATGCAAAGAGAGGTACATTGCCACGTCAAAAACGGATTAAACAATCATCAATCCAGTGATTAAAAATACAAATTCAGGAATTTTACTGCTATAACTGTAACTTGTTATAGTGTAACGATCAAAATGAAAATATGATCAAAGTTTAGTGACTAATGATATAATTTATCTTGTAAAAAAATCAGAATTGTTTTATATTAATTTGCATACAATTTTTAAAATTTTAAAATCAATGAAATATTTAACTTGTTTATCTTAATTTAAAAATAATCAAATATTTAATCTCAGTTCATTTACGTCCTTGTATAAACTGTCATTCTTATTGAAATCTAAACGGAGGTGCATGAAAGGATTGGGCATGAGTTAGGTTGGGTCGGGTTTTCGACCAATCCAATGTAACCTAAAAGATTAGACATCCATCATTGAATTTAGCCTAACCCGAAATTTGATCTGAGTTTTCGAGATAAAACCTTAACCTGATCCTACTCAAAATAAATATTTATAAAAAAAAATATTAATTTTGGGATCTAATTGAAAAAATAATATAAAGATGGATATTATTATAGTATTTTTTAAATATATAAGATATAATTATATTATTTTCAGGTCAAATCAGATATTTTTCGTTCTAAATTCGACCCGAATTTATTTAATTTTAAATCAAATCCAACCAATTCGGGTTGAGTGGAAATTAGTGGGCTTCGGCCCAATTATTGGTTAATCTTATAATATTTGTTTGGGCCGAGGCCGAACAAGGCATTGTTCAAGTTCCATGAAAATCTGCTAAAACCCAACCTTCAATTTCTTTTTCAACTGACAAAAGAATAAATTGTTTTCGATTCTTTTACACGAGCAGATTTGGGGGGAGAATACATTTACAATTATTATTCATAGTAATTTCGGGGGAAAATGGCTTCCTCCCCTCGCACCGTCGAAGAGATCTTCAAAGACTATAACGCTCGACGCTCTGCTCTTGTTCGTGCTCTCACTTACGGTAATTTTGATCTTTCTGTGTAAACCCTAGATTTTCATTCATTGATTTTCCTTCTTCTTGGGCTTTATTAACTTGATTATGTTTCCATGTGGTGTGGATCAGATGTTGATGATTTCTACTCGCAATGCGATCCAGGTCAGTTTTGGGTATTTTAACTTATTGCCAGATTTTCTGTTTTATTTGGTTGCCGAGAAAGTTGACTCGAAAATTGAGATGGTAATTCTTCTTCTTTTTTTTTTTTTTGATTTCTGATGCATTTAATTTTTGGAGTTAGCTGAGTAAGTCTTTATGTGATGGGATTTGAATACACTTCGATTTTGAAGCTGAATTTCCCTTAATTGTGTCGATGTTTTTTCATAGGTCATTAGATTTGCAATCTTTATCTCGACCGTCTTCTTAAGCAAGTTGCAAATAAGTTGCTTTTTCCTATTGAAAGTTAATGGAAATCAGAGGAAAATTCAGTTCGAACATCATATTTATGTCTGCTATTCGATTTGGATGTGGATTTGTTTTCTTTTTGTATTTTAGACTGTTTGAATTTATGTTTGGGTACTGAGAAAAGATAGGAATATATCCGTATGCAAGTACATTTTTTTCTGCATTTTCTTTTAGATACGAAATTGATCATTAAGTCCAAGTTCTGCTTTATCAAGTCTCTCAAAAGTGCTACTTTTGAACTTTTTCACTGAAGTTTTCTGTCTTTGAAATTGCTAGAATTTTTGTTTGGGTACTGAGGAAAGATAGGAACTTATTCGATTCCTGTTCCTTTTAGATGCTTGAATTAAACTTCAAGTCGGAGTTTGCTTTCCAGGCTCTAGAATTTGTGATTTTGAATGCAGCTTTTAGAAACTCTTTTTAGTATTTTAATTTGTTGTTGCTCAGATAAGGAGAACTTGTGTCTTTATGGACACCCAAATGAGGCCTGGGAGGTAGCTTTACCAGCCGAGGAAGTTCCACCCGAGCTCCCTGAGCCGGCCTTGGGTGTTAATTTTGCTAGAGATGGGATGAACCGTAAAGACTGGCTTTCGCTGGTTGCTGTGCATAGTGATTGTTGGTTGCTCTCTTTGGCTTTCTACTTTGGAGCTCGACTTAATCGTAATGAGAGGTACACTATTCCGATCCGACATCGATCTTTTCTCCGCTTGTATTGTGGATTTCATCATATTGTGCATCGATGTTGTCTTTATGATCCGTCTCTGCCCTAAATGGTTATATGTCTTGAGCATTTGTACTTCACAGGAAGCGCTTATTTAGCATAATAAACGAACTTCCCACTGTCTTTGAAGTGGTAACTGGAAGGAAGCCGGTGAAAGAGAAACCCACGGTTGAAAGCGGAAGCAAATCCCGGAACAGCACTAAGGTGAACGATGAAAGCAACTCGACCTATTCAATTTTTACTCTGTATCATCGTTGTTCTTTTTGCATGTTTGGTTTTTGTTTTTTATCTTTTTCCTTTCGCCTTACAGAGGTCAATTGATGGACAGCCAAGAAGCAATCCTAAGTTAGCTGATAATAGTTACGAGGGGGATGAAGAAGAGCAGAGTGATACCTTTTGTGGGAGCTGTGGAGGAGGATACAATTCCGATGAGTTTTGGATCGGTTGTGACAACTGTGAACGGTGGTACCACGGAAAATGTGTGAAGATAACACCGGCAAAGGCGGAAACGATTAAGTTTTACAACTGCCCTTCTTGTCAAAAGAAGGTAAGGCAATAGCCGTCAATGGAGGGGTTAACCCTGATCGGTTTTATTCACCGATGTTGTTGTTGTAAAGCAGCTATGTCGAATGAATGCGTAATCCCGTTGTTACGAGTCTGTCCTTGATCTAAAGTCGATCACTTCGGTTCTTTAGGTACATTAATAGTATGTAGTTTCATACATATGGATGATATGCTTAGGGTTTATAATCATGTTCGGTTTTAATGTTTCGGAATGGCTGATCCGATACCGATACCCGATCGAGTAGGTTTCCTGTCTCTTTTTCCCTTCATATGCTTAGGGTTTATAATCACGTTCGGTATTTTTGAAAGCCATTAAACAACGTAAGTGATAAAAGAAAGTATTATTCTCTCAAGAGGTCTTGGTTCCGGGCATACATTGTCATTAGTTAATTTTTTTGAACAAATATTCTTATACGCTGTTAGTGTTTAATTTTGATTCATATGTATAATTAATTAAAACATATGAACATTACATACATAAATCTGGTTAGCTTAGAAAGTTTTTGATTCATATGTATAATTAATTAAAACATATGAACATTACATACATAGATCTGGTTAGCTTTAAAAGTAGAAATAATAGATTGTAAAAAGAAGGATTTTATGTTTTAAGTCCCTAAATTCTTTTTTTTTTATCAAATTAAGTCTTTAAACTATTATATTTAAGAGAAAATCGCCTCAGTGACCAAAAAAAAGTTATAATATACGATTTTAACCAACTTTTTTTGGATTTGCCAAAATGACCAACAAAATCGCAACGCGAAATAAAAATCGCAACGCGATCCCCAGAATCGCAAATCAGTTTCCAAAATCGCAACGCGATTCTTGAAAATCGCAATGCGATAGTCAAATTTGCATTGCGATTTTCCAAAATCGCAACGCGAACACATAAATCGCAATGCGTATCCGTAAATCGCAACGTGTATCCGTAAATCGCAACGCGTATGGGTAAATCGCAATGCGTATCCGTATATCGCAACGCGTATCGGTAAATCGCAACGATAATACATAAAATCGCAACGCGTATCCGTAAATCGCAACGCGATATTTAAAGCGCCATTATAATCGCTACGCGTATTTTATTTTCAAATTACAAAAACGAATATTAAGACAAAATCCCGTAATCGCAACTCATAACCTAAAACCTAAAATCACAACTCAGTCCCATCTCCATCTCTCACTCTCTACGGCGAAGAAATCCGTCCCCATCTCCGAAGATTTCCGTCCCCATCTCCGGCGAAATCCCTCACAACCATTCACGGTCAGAAATCCCTCACAATATTCAGAAATGGAAAATCAACCTCCGAGGGTTAGTTTTTTTAATTATTTTTATTTTGAAATGTTTGCATTATTGTAGGTTTTTCATATTGAAACTGATGATAAGTTTACTGGTCATCTCAATAATAGATTAACCATTTCACTTAGATTTCATTTCGCGTTACGATTCTCTCGTTGCGATTTTCATTTCGCGTTGCTATTCTCTCGTTGCGATTTTCAAGTTAGTATTTGTCTTTGTCTTTGTTCTGTCTTTTGGTTGAAGTAATGTAATCCATTCAAGTTTCAATTTGCAGAAGAGTCGCAACGAGATAAATGAAAATCGCAACGAGAGAATCGCAACGCGAAATGACAATCGCAACGAGAGAATCGCAACGCGAAATGAAAATCGCAACGAGAGAATCGCAACGCGAAACCAAAATCGCATTGCGATTTTTATTTCGCGTTGCGATTCTCTCGTTGCGATTTTCATTTCGCGTTGCGATTCTCTCGTTGCGATTGTCATTTCGCGTTGCGATTCTCTCGTTGCGATTTTCATTTCAACCAAAAGACAACAGTGTTGCAAATTTTAGTTTCAAGAATAAACTACTACTTTTTATGTTTATTGTTTTTGGTATATCTTCACAGTGTAGTTTTTGGTATATCTAACTTGGTATGTTTATTGTTTTTGTAGAAATTTTTTTCGGCTCAATTGACCTTGAGAAATAAAGTCAGCCTGGCCACTACAATTGCTTCGAAGCTTTCACCTGCTCAAAGACAATTGTTTGAGGAAACCTGCTTCGGGCCATGGCTGAGAGTACAGCATCCGGGTGGAGATGCTAATTTGACCCATTTGTGGCTTCAGACCATGACATCAAATCTACCCGACAGTATACAACGTGGTGAGGAAGAGATATGGTTTCATTTTCCACCAGCGTATACTTGCTTTGGGCGGAAGGAGTTCTGCTTAATCACTGGTCTACGATTCGGACACGATGATGTAGGCCGGTACACTCGTCATATCGCCCGCCCATCATGGTTATCCCGGGTTTTTCCGGATGAGTCAATGGAGAAGCCGAACCTACATGTCGACGACCTGAAGAAATTGTTTAATAAGAAAGCTGGTTTCACTCGGATGGATGACGTCGATGTTGTCCGAGTATGCCTTCTACTACTTGTGTATGCCGGCTTTTTAGGCAGAGAGGCCAGACAACCTATTCATCGGGAGCTAATAATATTGGTAGAGGACCTGAATGCATGGAATCTGTTTCCGTGGGGTTCGTATATATGGAAAGCTACCTGGACTAAGTTGTCGTCTGCCTTTGATGACCGCAAAAGTTTGCGGGGCGATGGGTCCAAATACACTTTGTCAGGCTTTGTTTGGGCCTTTAAGGTAAGAATTTCTATATAATGTTTCTAAAATTATAATTAATTATTTAACAATTACTAATTTTGTTATTATATTGTTTGTAGATTTGGATATTCGAGGCTTTCCCCAGCATGCGTACATATGCAATAAAAACGTCAAATGATATTCCCAGGGCTATTTCCTGGAAGAGGAAAACTCTGTTGGATTGGGAAGACTTAATACCATATGCGACAATAAATAATGTAAGTTAACACAAATACTTTCATATAATATATAAACTAGTTATTAATAGTAGACGTTTAACTTTGTTTGAGTTTTTATATTTTAGGAGGCCAACATTCCATTACAAAGACTGACACCCACGGAGGAAGAGCTTGCCACTGATTGGTGGCAAGCTAGTCAGAGTTTTTTTGATGGCACGGATGATGAGCAGCATCCACTTCCTCCAATTCGAGAGCCATCACCTCACCTAGAGCCATCACCCGATAGACCCGACTATACACCTCTAGAATGAGAGCCATCACCTATCCCGTCACATCATCGAGCCTCTTCTCCACCATCACCTCATGATAGGCGACCGGCAAAGATGCCACGACTCCTATCTCCCTGTTCTCCACCTCCACCTCAACGGGATGAGTCAAGGGAGTTACGTGATGAGGTCAATGCCTTGCGTGAGGAGATCGGTACTCTACGCGATAACGATGGTGCATGGCGTGTGGAGGTGTCAACTTTACGTGGTGAGGTTGCCGCTCTACGTGAGATGATAGTATCGTTGCAGAATGAGGTTCATACTCTACGCAACGAGGTAAGTTTAAGATTTTCCATATTTAACTTAATGATAAATTTACTCGTAATTTCACTTAGATTAGCCATTTCACTTAGATTGCTTAGTAAATTTATTCGGTTGCTGCCAATTCTGCTAAACTGTGTATTCTTTAACACTGTGAAATAGTATTTGTCTTTGTTTTGTCTTTTGGTTGAAAGTAAATTTGTTCGGTTGCTGCCAATTCTGCTAAACTGTGTATTCTTTAACACTGTGAAATAGTATTTGTCTTTGTTTTGTCTTTTGGTTGAAAGTAAATTTGTTCGGTTGCTGCCAATTCTGCTAAACTTTATATTCTTTAACACTGTGAAATAGTATTTGTCTTTGTTTTGTCTTTTGGTTGAAGTAATGCAATCCATTCAAGTTTCAATTTGCAGAAGAAGAAATAGTTTACTTTCGCAACACGAAAGTTAAAATCGCAACGCGAAACCAAAATCGCAACGACAAGATCGCAACGCGAAACCAAAATCGCATTGCGATTTTCATTTCGCGTTGCGATTCTTTCGTTGCGATTTTCATTTCGCATTGCGATTCTGTCGTTGCGATTTTCATTTCGCGTTGCGATTTTGGTTTCGCGTTGCGATTTTAAGTTTCGTGTTGCGAAAGTAAACTATTTCTTCTTCTGCAAATTGAAACTTGAATGGATTGCATTACTTCAACCAATAGACAAAACAAAGACAAATACTAACTTCAGGGTATTAGTTTGAAACATATTTTTCTTTGTTATCTGATGCATTTTGTGAACTATGATAGAATAATGACTTGGGTGAATACAATGCAAGTTTGAAACATATTTGTCTTTGTTTTCACTGTTTAAATATCATGTCTGTTTATTTACTGATTTTTGTATTTAATTATTTAGCGGCCCGATAGAGTGGATGCTTTACGTCGGGTTATGCTTGCACGACAGAGTTCACGCATCAGACAGCGTGCACGTGCTATTAAGTCTCCGTACACCCCAATAGTGCGAAGACACTGCAAGAAGAAGCCCGACTCGCCTGTCATCCCTCAAGAGTCCACTCCTATCGTTGAAGAGGCCCCCTATCATTCCTCGAGAGTCCCCTCCCACCGTTCAAGAGGCCACTGTCATCATTGAAGAGGTCCCTCCCACCATTCAAGAGCCCGATTCACATGGCGTCATATGTAGGCTTCTTGAGAAACCCTCTGACGTGCCGGACATGATGGATTCAAGTTGGCTCTCGTATGAGTTACCGGCCAGTACCATACCGGTATCTGAAGAGGAGAGGGAACAACTACCGGACACAATTCTGGATAACACCCTTTGGGCTAAGACCGCTGTTGATTTTTATCTACATGAGCGGAGCCAGGGGTGTTTCACTGACATATGCAAGCTCACCGATGATATCTATTTGTTGCTTGATCGGTCTTGGTGGGGCGTATTATTAGGGGTCGAAGACAATGGCTATTTCGATGGGGGGGTAAGTCTTATATTTTTCTTATATTTCAATTTGATTAATTTTTTTTTAAAATTTATGTAAGTCACTAATATATGTCTTTTTTTGTAAAACAGCATATCGATGCGTGGGTGACACGTCTTCTAATAATAAGAAAACTTAAGAAAAATAAAAATATACGATATACAATTATGCCGACGTCTTTTCACGCCGTTCACTTGAAGAATGCACGAGATGAATCATTTGATTTGGGCAATGGACAAGCTAAACTTTATCCTGCATGGTGGGAGGTCGATAAGGTTAGTATTTATTTTAGATTGAGTTTAAAGGTTTTATGAAATAAGTG